GAGAGAGTGTGACATCATGGTTCCTGGTAAGCAGTTCGGGGACTCGACACCGCCTCCCCCGAGAGATGATTTTTGTGGGCCGAGAGGACTGCGAGCTGATGCTTCAGGTGAGGCTGACCTGTGCAGGTGTTCGGGTTAGTAGAAATTGCCTCCCTCTAGGTTGGTCTGAAAAAGGAAGTTGTAATGGTGTCTTGTTTGAGTCGCAGTGAAAGTAAGCAAAAAGAGTTGTATGTGTGTGTGTCTCAGTCTCGCAGTGTGGACAAACAGCACGCTGTCATCAACTACAACCCGACCACTGATGAACACCTGGTGAAGGACCTGGGCAGCCTCAATGGGGTGAGCCATACACAACATATCAGTACATTATCATAGGTATCCACCAATCAGCAGCAAACACAGGTGGGGGGTGGTGATGCCTAAAGTCACAGGTTACAGTACAAAGATTTTTTTTTTTTTTTTTATTAACTTAAAAAAATTTAATTCCACTTTAATTTAAACAGGCAAGAACTGTAAAATCACAAAAGAGTGAAAACCTTCAGAGTGGACTTCAGCATCATAATCAGAAACTTTCACCTGGACGTTTGTTTGTTTGTTTCCTGCAGACATTTGTAAACGACCTTCGGATTCCTGATCAGACCTACATCACCCTCAAACTGTCAGACATCATCCGCTTCGGATACGATATCCTTCAGACGCACACACGCACTGTTTGTGTGCGTGTCTGTGCGCGCCTGTGTGTTTCTGTGCGTGTGTCTTGATCTGTGTGGGTGGGCTGTGGGACAGGAAGCATTAAAATTTCCATGTTTCAGAAACAAACAGCAGCACTGAGCGTGCTCAAAGCCTGAAGCAGAGAGCACAGCGCCTCACTCTACCTGCCGGGCTGGTGTCTAAGGTGTTCGATGCGTTCTGGGGAGCAGAATCTTCCGGGTTAGGATCTTTGCTCCTGTTGACCTGGGTCACATCCTGCTGACTAGCTGCGTGCTGGACTTCCTGCTGCGCCGGACCCTGGACCTCAGCTGCAGGGGTTCACCGAGGCCCTGGAGCTCTGAGGCAGCTCTGTCTGGCTCTGGTTCTGGTCTGGTTCCAGCAGGTGGATGTGTGGGAGTCCGGACCTCCTCCCGAGGCTTCTCGGGCAAATCTGGCTTGTCTTGGGCCGCTGACATCTGCGTGACCCCGGGGTGACCTGAAAAGGAGAACTTGGGTCAAACGAGCAGTGGTGACAAGAAAGTCTGCAGAAGTCCTGCCAGGCTCTCACCTTCAACCCCATCGTCCGGCTCTGCCCGTGGCCTTGTCTTCCTCAGCCTGCAGCCCTTCCTGATCTCGGCCAGCAGGTTGTCGACGATGCATCCTTCGTCCCAATTGGCCATGTCCGTCCTAACTGCAGCACAGACACACGTTCCCCTGTGAGCTTAGCGCACATGTCACAAACAACAGGTGAAAGCTGTCACTGCGTCACCTGACAGCCTCATAGGTACAGCAGCATTTAATCTTTACAAACTTCCTTCTCGTCCTGATGCTGTCACATCATTTCCTTTAAATATTCAGCTGCTGATAAACTGTTGCAGAGAAATGTTGCTGATGTCAGCTATTGATTCTCGACCTGTCCGTCACCGGCCCTTCACATGTCTCACCTGTTCTCCACTTGCCCTCCACTTGCCGATTGGCTGGCTGAGACATAGTTTAAATGACACATGCAAACGTGCGGCAGGGTATGAGTCCTGCAGACTGAGCCGCACTGCGATTGGCGCTGACCTTGAGGGTTCGAAGGAAGAGGTCTCTGAATGCCTTGATGGTGCTGAAGAGCTCTTCGAGGGAGAAGCTGCTGCTGTCCTCACAGAGGTAGGCGGACAGGTGCTTCCTCTGCTCCTCCACAGATGACAGCAGGAGTTGCAGCTGCTCAACAGCCTGCAGGCTCTCCTGGTAACACCACATAAGAACAACAGGTAAGTTCACCTGGAACAGCAGGTCTGTCCCACTAAAACGGTGTCAGTGAGTGTACAGACTGGATTTATCTGCCCGTAAAGGTGACAGCCTCATCCTGAGTGACTCACCTGTATGGTGGACAGGTACTGCTCCTTCATGTCGTCAGATGAGGAGGAAACGCTCCTCTCTGAGTTTTTCAGCCGTTTGTTTAGAGTCTTTGTTTCAGACTGAATAGAGTCCAAGCTGAGCCTGCAGGTGGAGTCAGAGGGCAACATTTAACACCGCTGCAGGCGAAACACCTGAGCTACCACGTCACAGACTCCACCCAGCAGTCTGTACGTGACTGAACTCCTATATGTGTTTACCCAGCAGCCTTTGCACAGATCTCCAGGTCATCGGGCAGGTTGAGCAGGTCGGGGTGATTCTCTTCAGCCTCCTAAGGGTCACAAACAGCAGCAACTGAATTATTATGAGAATACTGCAGTATTCCCCAGTATTCGTAGTATTCCCAGCATTACCTGCAGGATGTGGTGC